TCATTTACAGTGATATACTTGTTATTAATTCACTTGAAGTGGTTTACTTCTCTGGAGTTCGTTTCTGAAGTGATTAACTTCTTTTTATTAACTATCCTTTTTAAAGGTAGCCTCAGTTCTTCTATCAATATATAATAATAAACAGGCAAACACAAATAAACAAATAATTTCAAAAATGAATTTTCATTCAGAATAACATAAATATTACAAATTGTTTAACTGTCTTTACAAAAAATCAAAAAACAAAATTATTTCTCTGATGGGAGAGGTGGCTCCACTGGCTCCTGCTCAGCTGGAGGAGGTGGCTGAGTTGGTTGCTGCTCGTCCGGCAGAGGAGGTTGCTCATCGTCAGAAGGAACTGGATGAATCTCCACTTCTGGAACTGGTTGGATCTCACCCACTTCAGTTCCCTCCGCTCCTGCCTCCATCTCGTCCTCCTCTACCTCTGCCTTTTCTTCCTCCACTGCAACGAACTTGAAGTCGAACTGTGGAGGAAAAACAGCAAGACCGTCTGCATCATCCTCCCACCTCAGCTTAATCTGAGGACAGAAGTCTGCTGACATGCTCTCGCCATCCTCCTCCACTCCTCCTTCTTGCTCACCGAAGGTGATCTTTGTCACATCCACTTCGGGATATTCAGCCTTCACCTTCTTTCTGTAGTCTGTAAAAGCAATGATGGCAGTGGGCAGCTGGTACAAGTTGACGATGCTATCAAACGAGCTAGAACTGATGAAGTTACTGATGTGCTCCTTCATCCCATTATGCACCAACTTCCGCATGTTCCCCTTCAGCTCCTTGAATGCCTCTATCATCAGCTTCATTTCTTGCGCCTGAGCCTCACGCTCGCTTTCAGCAATCCTTCGTTTGCTCTCCTCAAAAGCGAGCTTGGTGCTCAGGGAAGCCCTCTCCTGCTCCAACTGTGAAACAGTTGGAACCACCTCGTTCAGAGACTCTTGCAGCTCCTTATTTTTCTTCTCTAACTCCTCCTTCTCCTTTTGCAATTGGTCCCGCTGCCTCTGCAAGAGTGCACGATCCTTCAGGCTCTCCCTAAATTCCTGGGCTAGACCATTCACCCAGCTCGCGCTCTGCAGATCAAAACTGAAGTTAAAAAAAAAAAAAAAACGAAGAGAAGGCGAAACAGGTTCACTGCACAACACCAATACTTTAACATACCTCTAGAACGTGCTTCACCACGGACGCTCCACCATACCTCAGAGCTTCCTGCCATGCGTTGCATTGGTCCACTTCGGGGAAGGTGTTGTTGATGAACCACCTAGCCCTCGTTATGTTCTTTATCTCGAACAGGCTGCTCTGAGGCCCTAGTGGGGGAATAGGGCCCTTTCCCTTACCAGGAGCTCGTACCTCAACCCCCTCCTCCAACTGTCTGAGCTCAGGGTCCAGCTCAACAGGAGAAGGCTGAGGTACGAACACAGGGACCTCATTCCCCGTCTCCTCCTCCACCACCCTCTGCTTCTTCTGCAGTGCCCTCCTCTCCTCCCACCCCTTTCTCTTCAACTGTGGCACTTCCTCCTCCACCTCAGCTGAGATCGTGGGAACTACCTCCTTCCTTACCCTCCCCTCACCCACTTGCTTGGTTGAAGTCTTTGACTTCTTCCTTGGCTTCTTGGGAATGGCCGCTCCTCCAGCAATGTTCAAGAACTGGTCCATTTCAGCTGCAAAGCAAGAATACACAATATTAATCACAGTTCTATACTCTACATTACTCTACATTCAGTACTACAATGCAGAACTAAACCAACCTTCACTCAAAGCGCTTGGCCCATAGAGCTCGGCAGCTTCTATGCATTGTGCGCTAGTGAGGTCCAAAATGTGTAATAAATCCCCCCCTTCCTCACCAACCTCCCCACTTCTTCCTCCTTATCCTCATTTAAGCTAAACCTATTCTGGTTGGCCCTTTTGGCCTTCCAAGAGGCTAACTCCCTCACCTCGGCATCCTCTTTCCCCCACTCCGTATCATCTACAAAAAAGAATTTCTCCTTCCATCCTTTAATGGATGAAGGACCCACCGTAAACAACGACCTACTCTCCTTACTAGCTACCCTCGGGGTGAAATAATACCACCCCTTATCTCTCATACTACCCCCTTTTAAAACAAAAAAATACTTAAACATATTTACAGTTGGCACGCTAATCCCCTGAGCTCGGCAATAGACTAAAAATCCTATTATTACCCTCATTGCGTTAGGGACCAACTGTGTCAACCCTATGTTGTAATCTAACAGTAAACCCACTAACAACTCAGGAAGTGGAAACCTAAGTCCCACTATCAAATAGTGGGAATACACAGGCATCCAGTGATCTCAAGGAGTAGAGCACGCCCTCTCCTCTACCCCAGCTGGCCTAACTAACACTCGAGACGAGATCTCATAATTTTCTACTAAGTGACCCAGGCTATCCCTAGTCCTTAGCTCATATCTGTATTGCTTCACCTCCTCCACTATCTCTGCATTCACATCATAATCTCTTTCTCCTCTACCCTCTACTTCTACTACGGTGATGGGTATGCTATCTACCTTAACCACCTCTTTTTCCCCAACCTCCACCACCTCATCTCCTCTCACCCCCTCCACCATTTTCTCT